CAACCAACTGAGCCACCAGGCAGGTTACCTTTTGAATCCTCATGAGAACTTAAAGAAACTCCTCTAACCAATGCAGATTTTTCATGATTTACTGATGGTTCTTAAAGAATGAAAATGGTAAATATCATGCTGGGTATGCTACTGCAACTCCTTTGAATCCACTGAGGCAGAACCTTTTCCTTTGGCTACTTCACCCCAAAAGCTGAGTCCTGTGCCTTTACTCGAGCTTGTACCTTATCCAAGGGTAAAACTGCAAACATTTATACCAATAGCCAGTATGCCTTTGAGGTCGCTCACAACTTTGGAATATTATGGAAACAACATGTCCTTACCTCCAATGGGAATAATGTTAAAAATGGCTCCTATGTCCAAAATTTATTAGATGCCATACTTCTGCTACCTGCTCTAGGTATTATCAAAGTTCCTGGACATTCCAGACTCAACTCCATAGGGGCCAAAGTAGCCCACCTCACTGGTATCTGTACAAATGCTGCTCTCAAGGAAACCAGTAACCCAACCTTTGTCGTGGTCCAAAGGGATGTTCTCCAAAATGATAAATTTTGGAAAAATCAACAGGAGATACCCAGCAATTGGCAACAAAGAGGGAAAAACAATACTGGAAATATAATTGTTGCCTTAATAAAAAGAGATAACTCTGGTTTGGGCCAAATAACAATTCAGCCATATCAGAAGTTCTGAAATTTCCACTACTTACAAATGCATACACATTACAGGCGCCTGGGTGGCTCAGTAGGTTAATTGGCCAACTCTTGATGTTGGCTCAGGTCATGATCTTGGGGTCCTCGGACTGAGTCCTGTGTCTGGCTCCACATTCAGCAGGGAGTCTGCTTGAGGATTCTCTCTCCCTCTCCCTCTACTCCTTCCCCCACTCGCAGGCTCTCTAAATAAATAAATCTTAAAAAAAAAGTGAATACTCATTAAACCACTGGTCTACTGATAAAATGATAGCATCCATAAACCACTGTTGCTGAGAAAAGGTTAATAAGTCCACAAAAGTATCAACCTCATTTGTCCCACCTGTCCAAAACACAATCTCAGGTACCTGTCCATGTTGACCCTGGGCATTTCAAATTACACAGTGGACAATTTCAAGTTTGGCAAATGGATTTCATACAACTCACCCCATCTCATGGATATGTTTTAGTTGTGGTTTGTAGGTTTTCTCATGGATCAAACTTTCCCTTGAAAACAGGCCAGTGCCTCTTCTGTGGCTCTTGGAACAAGATTATCCATAGGGGTGCCTGGGTGGCTCAGTCGGTCGAGTGTGCAACTCTTGGTTTCAACTCAGATCATGATCTCATGAGTTGTGGGATCAAGCCCCATGTCAGGCTCCACACCCAGTGGGGAGTCTGCTTGAAGATTCTCTCCCTCTGTTCTTCCCCTCACTCTCTAAAATAAATCTTTCTTAAAAAGAGAAAAGATTATCCCTATATAGGAAACCTCTCAAACTTCATAGTAATCAGGGAACCCATTTTACTGGTCAGGCATTTTGACATTTCTGTGCTGTCTGGCCAGTTTTACAACACTTTCATTGTGCATATCATCCTCAAACCTCAGGTAGCAAAAATGCGCTAATGGCACTATAAAGACTCAATTGGCAAAACTTCTAGAGACTCTCCAATACCTTGGCCATGGCTGTTAATTCTTCTAAACCTCAGATCCACCCCCTTGGGAACTTACAGACTTTCACCCTTTGAGGTAGTCACAGGACATCCAAAGCACTTGGCCCCTGCCTTCTTTGACCCACTTGATAAACTTATGTAAAGGCCTAATTACTTCTGTTAAAGATAACCATGTTTTGGTAGAGCCATCTTCTCACAGAGCACCCCCCAGTGACCTTAAGCATCACACTTTGCAACCCAGAGATTTGGGCTGTTGGAAAACACACCTCCAGACTCTTCAGCCCCCCTGGAAAGGCCCTTGTCAGGAACTACTAACCAACCCTGTGCCACCGAACTCTGGGGAATAGACTCTTGGGTTTCTGTAACACCTCTAAAGAAAGCACCAAACCTTGATTGGATCTGCACATCATCTGGTGACTTGAAAGTAAAGATTTCTTGGAACTGAAGAAGACATCTGACAACAGCTTTCCCAAGATGTGTAAAATAAGCCTGTATATCTTCTTCACTGTAGCTTCTTTCATGGGAAGACGGTGCCCATCTGCATTTTCCAAGCCGTGGCAAAAAGGGGAACATCTTTCGATTGTGGCCTTTCAGAAACAGCCTCATGATCCTGAGACAAGTTAATTTTCCCTTGCTCTTTCTTATGGGTTAGAAGGTTTCAGAATTCAGAAGTCTCTTTCATCTGAACTATTAACTGACTTTGGATTCATCTCCAAATTCATGGTCTCTAAATTTGCAACCTTACAGATTGTACTAGCAATAACACATTTGCTTTGTTTTTTTGAGATAACATACTGTTTTAAAAACATCTTTGAAGTTCTGTTGTTTTACAAAAAGTTCATCAGCTGTTGCATCATGTTCATACCTGCACTCTATCTTCCCAAATGCACTTGGTTTGCTCCTTCAGTGTGCTCTTGCAAATATTTGCTAGTCTGTTTTTCATGATCACTTTAAAGAATCATTTCCAAGAGGAATACATCACTCTGGGTTTGCCTTCATAGGGAGAACCTTTCTCCCCTAAGTTGGAATAAGTGCCAATAAATGTTCTGTTTGACTTTCAGACCTAGGGTCCTTGGTTAGAACCATCATACAATTTGGAATTATGTTACTTCTGACTCGTATATAATTGTTTTGTATTTTGTTGACTGTTAAGCTTTTTAATTTTTTTTAAATGATCACCCAATTAGGTGCTGCTGGCTTGATGCTTCAAGAATCTGAGTTTCTTCCTCCTAACCTTCCTTATTCCTCAAATGTGACCTTAAGTGGTTTCCACTTGCAACGCACTTTCCTTCCAACATAGGACATGACAATATTCCTAGTACTGAGGGACAAAACCAGTAAATATAAAGAACCTGACTATTGATTGGCAATGCCTTCAAAGAAAGATCTTAATCAAAAGAGGGGAATGTGGAAATTAATAAAAGGAAACGTCATTTAGAATGGAGTCAGGCGGCCAGCAGGGGGTGCTCTAGTTTGGCACTAGTTGTCAATTGCAGACCCAAAGGAAGAGATGGACCTTGCAAGCCAATACTACTTTATTATCCTCACAGGAGGAAGATTTCTTCCTCCCCTGTCAACAACCCGGCCAATCAGAGAGAGTGACAGCTCAGCCAATCAGAAACCTATGTAGTTACAACCCCCAGTTTACTCTAGTGGAATTTTTAGTTTATAACAGCCCTTCCCAACTTCCCCTTTCCTCTATAAAAAAGCATTCTTCACCTTTGTTCTCTGGACCCGCCTATGGTTTTGCTAAAACTCACTTGTCCTGGATTGTAATCTCAGCTATTCCCGAATAAACCCTTTTTTTTTTTTTTGTTTGGTGGTAAAATAACTGGCAGTTTTATTTTTAAGGTTAACACAGGAATAAGAGAAGTGGCATCAGTAAAGACTCTGCAGGTACTAAAATAGTAAGAGAATAGTTTGAGAAGTTTGACTACTTAAATAAAATGAACTCCTTGAATGACGCAAGCCACCAATGCTCACTCTAGGGGAAGAAAGATAACTTCGATAGGTCTATATCCACTATGAAAATTAAATTTGCAGTTACAAATCTTCCCATAAAATAAACTCCAGGCCCAATTACTTCTTCACTGGTGAATTCTACAAAACAAGGAAGAAACATCAATTCTTCACAAACTGTTCAACAAAATTAAAAACCAGGGAATACTTAATGTGTAAAGCCAGCATTATGGCGATACCAACTAAACCGAGGCATTAAAGAAAATTAGAGACTAACATCTCTCATGAGCACAGATGCCAAAATCTTAAAAAAGGGAGGGGAGATAAATACAATAGATAAAAAGAATACGTCACGACCAGATGGGGCTCACCTCAGAAATAAAAGGTTGGTTGAAGTTTTTAAAATTAGTCAGTGTACTTCATCATTAAAAGACTAAAAATGTAAAGGAAAAAAAAAAAAACCCTATGATTGTGGTAACCACTATCCAAGAGATTCCCTTAACAAGCTCTACCTTCTTGTATTGTCCGCTGTGGAGTCCCCTTCCACTTTATACCAGGATTAGTCTGTGTTACCCACAGAAAAAGTCAGAAATGTTAACACATCTTTCCCGGGAAAAGGTTTTAACAGATACTGTGGCTTTGTTTTTGTGTGAGCTCTCTACTGGATCACCTGATTTGGAATTCTCTCTCTAAAATGGAATCCTTTCAGCAAAAGTATGAATGCAAAGGAATGAACTACTGATGGATCTAACACTGATGAATCACAAGATAATTATGCAGAGTTAAAGCCAGATACATAAGAGTACATATTAAAGTGTTACCTGTGTACATAAGTTTTTCCATAGATATAAAATTCTGGGAAATGCAAAGAAACCTATAGCGACAGAAAGCAAGATGAATGGTTGCCTAGAAATGGGTAAGGGGCAGAGGGATTGTAGGGCAAATCAGGAAACTTGGCTTCACAGGTGCAAACATGTATCAAAACTTACCAAACTGTATACTATAAATATGTGTTTATTGCAGAAAAGGCTTTGATTGATTGCTCTGGCAGTGACCGTAGCCATAAAAAAAGACACAAATATGGGAATCCTGAGAATTTCTGTGAGCCCTCATATCAAAGCCACAGTGATGGAAACATGTGGGTATACCTTTATAAGAGTCACATTCCCTATAGTTTGCTCCCAACTCCCAATTAATCAGTATCTCTGTGCCAATTACTATTCCTACCTAGTCTTTTTAGGGGACAGTGACATCCGCCTACTAAATAATAGATTTCAGGGGCATTGGCAGGTCCCAGGGGTCAAGTTCTCATCTAGAGACTATGGGACTCGGGTTCCCTGCTTCACAGGAAACCTGCTTCTCTCTCCCACTTCCCCTGCTTGTGTTCCCTTTCTTGCTGTGTCTCTGTCAAATAAATAAATCTTTTAAAAAAGAGAAAGAGAGAGAGAGAGAGACACTATGGGACTATGAAACATCCCTCTGGAACAAGGGAACCAATTCATACTGCTCCTAGATACACTAGAGGCTGTCACAACGGCCCACTGCTCAGGGTGACCTTGATCACACAAATAATCCTGGCATACAGGCCAAAAGATTAGGCCCACCAAGATCAGTATTCTTTCATAGGCGGTCTTGAGCTGTGATGCAAGTTAGGCTAAAATGAGAGCTGCTCTTTGCTTGCCATTCTGCTAACACCACTGGGACACAACATTTGGAGCTCTCACAAAAGCTGTTCCTCCCCTCATGCTGGCAGAACCCAATTCTGTTCTCAATACAACCCACAGAGTGAACAGAATCCCCAAAATTATAGTTTAAAAACTAAGGCATTTGTTGCCAAAACAAACACTATGAGATGGGCAATTCCTAAGGTAGGTGACTTGGAGGCTGGACAAATCCATCATGAGTGCAAAATGAGACCAGCAAAGTCCATGAAAAATGGAAACCTTCTCTGCAAGCAGCCAGCAGAACAAAGCTTCCAACCTTCTGACCAACACTAGGTCATGTCCATGCTTATACCAGCTGGTGGGGGAGAAAGCATGAAGGAGTGAGGATTTTTAATGGCTTCCAGGTACTGATGATCCCTCTAGGGAAGGGAGGAGCAGAGGTCTGCCTATTAGAACATGTTGGGATGACTTATGCACAAGGTGCCATTCCATACATGGCTGGTTTTTGTTCGTTTTTTTAGAGACATGGGCAGTGACAGAATTCTGGCAAGGCTCCTGGACAGGTTACAAAGTGCAACACAGCACCAGAAAGCTTCCCACATAGGTGACAGAATAATCTCCGGGGGCGGACGTTGAAACATATGAGGTTCAACTTCCAGCTGATGGCTACTCATGAAGGCTAATGTCAGAGCTTCTCTCTGCTGTCAGTCACTACGTTGAACAAGGATATGGTGTATTCCCTGCCATCCTAAGGCCTTTCTCCAGTGTGAACTTTCCAATGTCGGATGAGGGAAGCTCTTTGCCTGAAGGCCTTGCCACACTCACTGCACTTATATGGCCTTTCTCCAGTGTGAATTCTATGGTGCTGAACAAGTACATGTTTGTGGCTAAAGGCTTTTCCACAGTCACTGCACACATAGGGCTTTTCACCATTGTGAACTCTCTGGTGTGCAATAAGGTCAGAGCTCTGGCTAAAGAACTTCCCACATGCAATGCACTCGTAGGGCCTTGCTCCAGTATGAACACTCCAGTGTTTAATGAGTCTGTATTTGTGACCAAAGTATTTCCCACATTCACTGCACTCATAAGGCCTTTCTCCAGTATGGATACTCTCATGCTGAACAAGTGTGGATTTGTGGCTATAGGCTTTCCCACATTCACTGCACTTGTAAGGCCTTGCTCCAGTGTGGACTCTCTGGTGTACAATAAGGTTGGAGCTATGATTGAAAACTTTCCCACATATGCCACACTCGTATGGCATTTCTCCAGTGTGGATTCTCTGGTGCTGAGCAAGTATGGGTTTGCGGCTGAAGGTTTTCCCACATTCGCTGCACTCATAAGGCCTTTCTCCAGTGTGGACTCTCTGGTGCTGGACAAGTGAGTCTTTCCGGCTGAAGGCTTTCCCACATTCACTGCATTCGTAATGCCTTTGTCCACTGTGGAAAGCATCCACACGTTTGGTGTTACTGTTAGGCTTCCACTTACTCTGAGGGGCATGGTGCTGGAAAATGCTTGAACTAGCTGGGAAGTCCTTATAACCCTTCCCTGTCGTAAAAGGCATCTCCAATGGTTCCACAGGGCAGCTGTTCACAAGCAAGGTGCCGCTCTTGTCCCCTCTGAAGGGTTCCTCTCCACTGTGCTGCTTCTCGTGGTAAAGATTTGCACTGAAGTAGAATTGTTTCCCACATGCCCCACACATGTATGATTTCTGCCTAGGGTGTGTTCCCTGGTACTCAGCCATGTGCAAAATGTCTTTCAAGACCAGGCCACAAGTCTCACAGGGGTGGGCCTCCTGGGTAGAAGGACCTGCCTTGGGAGTCCTGACCTGTGACACTCCCACAGAAATGTTCTGCTCAAAAGCTATCTCCTCATCCTCCATTCCATGCCAACGACCTGAAAGCAGACAAATGCAGAGGACAAGTGCAAATTGACACTGATGGAAGGGGTAGCCTCATTATAAATGTGTCTAACAGAAGTAAGATCAAGGTCATAGGACTGCTGTCAGAACAAGAGGTCCAAGCTCAAGTGAGTACAGGGCTGCTATGCAGCAGTTGGCATCTAAAGATCACAGAATGGAAGAGTCAAAAAAAAAAAAAGGAATGGAAGAAGACTTGATTAGGAAAGGACACGAATGTGGGGTACAGCCCAGGAAGAGCATTTCACCTGGGAACAGGTGAGAGCTGTGCAGCTGTGTCTACTGAACAGCTACCACTGAACAGCTTGTATTTAAGGACTTCTTGGCGTATGTGCACATCTCATAACACACTAAGTACAGGCCAATGTTGGGGAGCACTGCAGAGGGAGCAGTGGAGAGGAACAGGTGAGACATGGAAGCAGAGGTGGGGAACCGCCAGAGGCCAAAGGTCAGAGCATAAGACAAGTGTGTACACGGGGAAGTAAAGTGTGGGGAGAGAGGTTAGGGAATGACCGGAACCCAGCCCCGACATCACATCCTTCCCCATTCCCATTCCCCAGGGCCACACCCACCCTGAGCCTCTCTAGTCCTGCCTGGAGTAACATCTGCCCAGTCAGATCGCCAGAGCTTGCTGCCCAGCTCCAGTGAGGCAACCCCATGGGACATGGAAGATTCATATCCTAAGAGGAAGACAAGACATGTAAATGGCCAGCACTGGTCTGGGCTACCCACCACTCAGAGAAGAAAACTAAGTATTATAAAAATAACCTCAAAGTAGGGTCTTGCATGAAGAGCTCAGTGGTCTCAGCAAGTGGTGACCACTCTGGTCCCTGCAATTCCTCACCCAGACAGGCCATTGGAAACATCAGCTAGAGGAAGGGGTCAGAAACTGGGGCACAGGGGTGCACGGATCTGGACAGAGGCACCCAGTCAGGGAGAAGACAAGCTCTGATATAGGAATGACTGGACTACCCTTGGGAAGTAGGGGAGAAACAGAGACCAGTACAGGACACTGGGGTGGGTATGATGATCTTACCCAGTGAGGCCATCAGTGCCAAGTTCTCCAGCATCACATCACGGTACAGGAGCCTCTGAGCCTCATCAAGGAGCCCCCACTCCTCCTGGGAGAAGTACACGGCCACATCTTCAAAGTTCACTTGTCCCTGCCACAATGGGGAGAGCCGAGTCCATGAGCAGCCTCTCTCCCAAGGACACCCATCCAGGCCCCCACAGATCTCCCTCCTGCATTTCTTCCTACCTAATTCCTCAACTCAGAGGAAATACAGGGACTGGGTACCAACGGTGTCTGCACTCTCGTAATCTCCCTTTGATTACTGTGTCCACCCGTAGCAACAACAGGCGGGTGGTCAGAGAGGCACCATCTAACCTCTGGGCCTGGCCTGCAGGGATGCACTGCCCCCCACCACCTCCTGACAGCCAGTTCTCCTGGGGTTGCTAAGATCATGCTACCAGACGACCAAAGTTGGGCTCACCTTTCTTCTTTAAGCCCCCGATAGCAGGACCCATGAGCCATCAGTTCACACTACTTTGTATGTGAACATTATTCTTTTGGATCATACTCTGTCTCACAACTCTGGCCCCCCACCCAGTCACTAGCCTCCACCATCACCTTCCTGCCTCACTAACTGCACTGCACTGTACATTCTTCCTCCTAAACCTGCCTACACGCCATCTTCTACTTTTTGGATGTCTCCGTCATGAACCTTCCACAGAAGTCCAGTGCTGTGTCCATCAGCTCACCTGACACCTCCACTCAGTGTTCACTGGAACATCTTAAACTCTTCACACGGGCTACAAATTTAAAATCCTAATATCCAATCTGAGTCATGTCTACCACTGACTTGCCCATCTCAGCTGATGGAGCTCCTACCCTTCGGGCTGAGAAGGGCTAAAACCTTGGGGTTCTCTCTCTCTCTCACATCAAAAAGAAAATCTGATCCAACACTTCTGCCACCTACAAGCTCCCCTCTGGCCCACCCCTTACCACCACTCACCGGGAATGTTGAAGCAGCCTCCTTATGTATACCACAGCTCCCTTTACCCTCACCACACACAGTCTGTTCTCCACTTGGCATCCAGAGGGGGCCGTTAAAACCTGGATTAGACCACCTCCTCCCTCCTCTGCTCCATACGCCCATGGCGACAGCACCCTCAGAGCAGAGGCCTAGCTTGTCAGCTGGCCATTCCAGACCTGACTCTTGCCACCTGCTCCTGATTCCTAGCACACGTGGCGGAGACCTGTTGTTTCTTGAAAACTTCCATCTCAGTCTCTCCTCCAAGTATATGCGGGTGTTAGTTCCTGTACCTGGAACCGCCATCCACATCTTATTCCGACAGTTACCCCAAAATGGGAACCCTTCCAGATAAGCCCTGGCCTGGACTCAGAATCCTGGGCTGAGGATTTCTCCAGGGTCCTCAGACCTCCCTCAAGCGCTGGGGGAGCATAAGAAGAGTGTTGTATGATACCACAGTCCGGAGCCCATGTGGGTGGGGGTGGGATGGATGAGAACACAGACACCCTTCCCTCACCTGTACAGGGTCCATAGTTACTCCTGAGTTCATCGGGACCTGTGGGAAGAGGGAGCCTGTGAGAGACAAGCAACCACGAAGGCGCTCATGCCCATCCCCCACTCCTACCCCGCCACAAAGAGCCCGGGCTGATTAAACCCCAGCCCTACCCTCTGTGCCTAGGTCTCCAGGCCACCTAACAGCTGCGTTACCTCCTAGGTCCCTCTGTCCTCACCGGCCTCATCATCGCCTAACCTCCTAACCTGGTTCGCGCGTTCCGTAAGCAGTCTAAGAAATACCTCTAAAGCCGTCGGATCGCGTCCTTCCCCCGTTTAGAACCTTCCCCGGCTCGCGGCAGGCTCACAACGACGGAAGAACGGCTCGGGCTGGCACTGCGGGTGTAACGCCCCTCACGCTCTCACCCTTTCACACACCAACGGCCCCAGGCCTCCCGAACACTCCGTCTGGGTGGCCTCCCAAGGCTTTGCCCACGCTGGTCCCTCTGTCCGCGACGTCCTTCCACACCCACCGCACCGGCGATCAGAAATGGGGCACAGCCAGGGGCGCCCCTGCTGTCGGGACACACGGGCCTGAGCTGCCGGGCCCCGAGGCTGTTCTCATTCGGGGCTCTGGGTTCCGAAACGGAGGTCGCGGGCGGACCCGAGGGCGCAGCACCCACCTGCGCCGGGTCCGTCAGTGCGGCCGCCGCCCCCGGAACCTGTGGACCGGGGAAGGCGCGCGGAGGGGAGGGGGTCATTAATGGTCGACAGGTGCGAGGACCCGATCCTCAGGCCCGCCTCTGTTCAGGGGAGGCAACGCCTCCTCTCGCGTTTGCTCCCTCGGGGGACTCACGCCTGACACTGCGATCTGGAAACTGACCTGGCGGGTTAATCCAAAAACAAACAAAATGTCCGCTCAGCAAGGGAACGGAAGTCCCACCCTGATGTCTCCCGCACCAACGAAAACGCCTCTCCCTCGGGCCTGCATTGGCCCAGTACCGCGGAGAATCCTGGGTAGTGTAGTTTCCTCAGCAACCACACTGCAGAGGGGCGTTTGCACCGCCTCCGGAACAGAGGCCACCACGTAGCTGGCGGCGCCTAGAAATTGCGTGTCCTTGAGTACGAGGCGGAGCTTCGCTTTCCCTTAAAGGAGCCGGTCCCATATTTCAGGTAACTATAATGTGTAACACGTGGGACGCCTGGGTGGCTCAGTCGGTTAAGCGTCTGCTTTCTGCTGGGGTCATGATCCCAGAGTCGAAGGATCGAGTCCCGCATCGGGCTCTTTGCTCATTGGGGATCCTGCTTCTTCCTCTGTCTGCTCCTCCCCTTGCTTGTGCTCATGCTCTCTCTCTCTCTGACAAATAAGTAAATAAAATCCCTAAAAAAAAAAGAAAAAAGAAAAGAAAAAGTGTTTCCTCAAAAACACATTACAGAAATGTTTAGAGATATTATTTCAGGACTCTTTAGGCAGAGAATGCGCACCAAAAAATTCAATGGACACACCATATGCTAATTTCACTCAGATTTTTATAGCTGGAAGCTAATAAATATTGTTATCAAATAAACTTTTTTAAAATTTATTGATTTGTCAGAGAGAGAGAGAAAGCACAGCAGGGGAAGCAATAGGCTCTCCACCGAGCAAGGAGCCTGATGCGGGACTAGATCCCAGGACCCTGGGATCATGACCTGAGCCGAAGGCAGACGCTTAACCGACTGAGCCACCCAGGTGTCCCTCAAATAAACTCCTGTAGCCTGCAGCTCTAGAGTTAGTTTTGTGAGCCTCAGCATTGAGGATCGGGAACAAGAGAGAAAACACTCCAGACACTTGATGATGTGGAACATGGAGAGGGATGTTAAGCACCGCTAAAGGAGGTGGACGTTTGTGTCTCTGGTTACCTCAGAAATCATTCCTTCTGCCTGTATAATCAGTGATTGTGTAGAACACAGGTGTAACACTTTTTTACAAGATAATATTTCTTACTCTGTATACAGAGATGTAGTCAGTTCCTTATAGGTGTGTTACAAATGAGAGAAAGGGGATTTACCAAATGTCATTTGGGAGTCAGAAGGGCAATAAGAACAGTCTCTATGCAGAAGAAATAGCCACTAATTAAATTTCTATACACAGTAAAAATGTCTCTTTTTTTAAAAAAAAAGATTTTATTTATTTATTTGACAGAGAGAGACACATCAAGAGAGGGAACACAAGCAAGGGGAGTGGGAGAGGGAGAAGCAGGCTTCCCGCCGAGCAGGGAGCCCGATGCGGGGCTCGATCCCAGGACCGTGGGACCATGACCTGAGCCGAAGGCAGACGCTTAACGACTGAGCCACCCAGGCGCCCCATACAGTAAAAATGTCTCTTAAGAAATTGCAACATAAGACGATTTGAGGCCCAAAATGATGACTGTAATGGAAAACAAACCCACAGAAAATAAAATTCTAAACAAAATATTCAAGTCCAAAGCAGATTGATCCCAGATGAAAAGTGCAATGAGAGAAGGAATCAAGACTGAGAGAGAGGTACATCTTTTTATCAAAACAAATGCTCATTATCTATGTAAAATGTGAATATATCTCCCATGGAATTAAAATGATGGAATTGACGTGCAAATGTTGGAGTTTGGAGTGAAAGGTCAAGAAAGGATTCTTGAGACATCGTTGGTGTAAAAAGGTGGTTAAGATTAAAGCATGGGACAGAACCTGTGGGCAGAAAGAGCTGCACTGGGGTACTGAGGGGTGACTGATGATATACTCTAAAGTTGGGAGGGGGTTATGGATAGCCTAAGTCTCTAAGGAATTTGGAAGTAAAGTTTCCAGAACCTTGAGGGGCTAGTCATTGTTAGGGAAGGGTCATTTATTACTGCATAGTAAAACCTTATTCACAAGACCGTTCAGATGTATACAAGTGGGCCATATGCTTGAAGGATGATTGCTAACGTAGATCTTTGGTGAGGTAGAGATAAAGGAAGTTTCCAGAGGAATTTTTATATGTTAGGGGAACACAAATATTTTTTTCCCTTAAGTAAATTCAACCTCCTGAAGTGGGGCTTGAACTCACAACTCTAAAGTCAAGAGTTACACTCTACCGACTGAACCAGCCAGGAATCCCTGGTATTTTTGTATGTTAAAGGAGACTTACAGGATCTTGGAGGTCAAGATAATATTAAGCTAAGATTGCCTTTTGCCCTCAGCAAAGTATTAACATCGAGGCAGCTGAGTTCCTAGAGGAAGGTCACTCTGCCTATCTCAAGGACTTGTCAATGGGCTTTAAGTTGTAAGGAAATTTATTTTATTTTTTTTGCCTTTGTTCTCCATGTCAGAATTCCCAAGCATTCCTTCAGACAACATCCACTGAGAGAAGGCTAGTTGCTTAATGTTCTAAATCCCTTATAGTTCTAAATGGGAAGTAAATGTATTTATAATTCTGTTAACCTTAAAAATAGAAGCTGCCAGTTATTTTACCGGCAAATGATGGGTTTATTTGGGAAAAGATAATTGCAATCCAGGACAAATAAAGCAGCAGCAAAACCATAGGCAAGTCTGGGGAACAAAGGAGAGACACAATTTTTTAAGGAGAAAAGAGGGAAGCTGGGAAGGCCGTTATGAACTACAAGTCCATTGGAGTAAACTAGGAGTTCAAAGCGTGGTGGCTTTGCATTGGCTGAGCTGTTGCCTGTTGTGGGGGGGGGCGGTGAGGAAAGCGTTTCTTCCTGTGGCTGGAGTAGCAGAGTAGTATCAATATGCAAGGTCCTGTCCAGGTAAGATCAAGTCCATCTCTTCCTGTTGGGTCTGCAATTAACTACAAGTGGGAGGGAGTGAGAGCTTCCCTTGCAGAAACCTCCTGACTCCATTTTAGTGAAGCATCCCATTACTAATTTTCACAACTTGAATGTATTAAATAGATGCTTGTGATTTTTTTTAGCTTAAATATAATAAATAGAATCAGTGTATACTTTTCAGAGGAGAAGAGGAAAAATTTGGAGTATAACTTGTTGATCAAGAAAGAATTCACTGAAAAAAATTTTTAAAAAAGATTTTATTTATTTATTCATGAGAGACAGAGGGAGAGACAGAGAGAGAAGCAGAGGGAGAAGCAGGCTCCGAAGGAGCAGGGAGCCCGATGCAGGACTCGATCCCAGGACCCTGGGATCATGACCTGAGCCGAAGGCAGACACTTAATCATCTGAGCCACCCAGCCGCCCCAGAATTCACTGAAAATTAAAGCAAACAGACTCTTATTTGGGCAATTAGAATTACAATTTGGGAGACACCGATTTAGGTAGAAACCTGGATAGTGTTCTGAGGAAGACCAGAAAGGAGGCAGAATTATAAAGATAAAGGTTCAAGAGTGCAGTTCCCATTTTTCTGTCACATAACTGATGTCTCAGTGATTGGCTTTGCTGTGCATCAGCTAGACAGACTTGGGTTAGGTTTCACCCTGAAGTCATGCACAGCCAACATGAAGTAGACTGGGATATGTGGCCTATGCTCTCTGCCGTAGTGCTCTCCTTCAGGTGAGTGGAGTCCTCCTTCTTCTTTTTGAAGGAAGCAAAAACATTTGACAGCTTTCAGGAACGGAACTGTAGATTTCACCCTGAAGGAGCAGTAGCTGTTGAGTCCTACTGACTCTATCCCAGAGTCTGCTAAAATTATTCTAATTATCCAGTCGAAGCTTTGCTCAGTGTATCTACCCTGCCTTGCACATTCCTTCCCATGAGAACCCCAATAAAGACTCTGGACCATGCTTTCCCCTCTCCCTCTCTAACTCCTGATCCACCTGGGTGATTCTGCATGTGGCCCCACATGGCCCTTCCCATGTCGTGCCTCTTGTGTTTAAGTAATAACTTCTTCCTTCATGAAAATCATTTCTGTGTCTGTATGTCTTACCACACCTATAGAACAAATCCCAGGTACATTTGGTGACAGTAGATAATCATTTTACCTAAACTAAATGATTAAATAGTCTGTTTGTTCTTCACTGATCAAGTTATTTTTTTAAATATTTTTTGTATTTATTTATTTGAGCGAGAGAGTACAAGTGGGGTGAGGGGCAGAGGGAGAAGCAGGCTCCCCACTGAGCAGGGAGCGTGATGTGAGGCTCGATTCCAGGACTCCAGGATCATGACCTGAGCTGAAGGCAGACACTTAACCAACTGAGCCACCCAGGCGCCCCATCATTGATCAAGTTATTTAAATTCCACACCCTTGTGAGGCTGTTTCAGCCTGTTAAGATCATCCATTTGTTTATTCTTGTGACAAAATTAAACTATCTGCATAGCTTTTTCTCTTTCTCTATTTTAAAACTGTCATACATTCAGTTGAGTGTTAATAAGAGATGTACAAATCATGTTTTTTTCTTTTATAAAGACTCAGGAGGGAGCAGAGGCAAGCTGAGGGCAAAGCACAAGCTGATACCCCTCAATTCCCCCCCTCCCAGGTGGAATATGTGTGACATTCCTCAGGCACTCCTGGCTGCCCTAAAGCTAAGGGAAGGAAAAACAAATGGTTAAGTAATA